GGCAGGACTCCTGTCATTTCCCTAGTAGTGCCCCTCTCTGGGGCAGTGCCAAAAAGACTGATGGCCAAACTCTCCTAGGAACAGTTGAAGGAAGAGAACCTCTGTGCTTGGCTGGGCGTGGTGGCTCACGCCTGTAATCCTAGCACTTTGGGAGGCCGAGGTGGGAGGATCACTTGAGGCCACGAGTTTGAGACCAGCCTGAGCAAGAGCGAGACCCCATCCCTACTAAAAATAGAAAAATTAGCCTTCCCAGCTACTCGGGAGGCTGAGGCAGAGGGATCACTTGAGCCCAAGAGTTTGAGTTTGCAGTGAGCTACCATGACACCATTGCATTCGAGCAGAGGCAACAGAGTGAGACTCTGTCTCAAAAAAAAAAAAAAAAAAAAAAGAACCTCTGTCCATCCCTGCTTATCCTTTGTTCTTTATCTTGAAAATTTGAAAATTAACTTCTGGTTGCAAACAAATAAATCTCCAAAGTTTACTAATTTTCAATAATGATTATGAGTCTTTGTCTCAGTTGTATTTGTCCTGGGTCTGTATCTTATTAAAATAGAAGGGCCCAATCCATTGACCATGCTCCCAAAACAACCCCTTAAATGATTATAACGGTCTTATAGTCTTCCCCTGGAAAGCAAAAGCAAACACTCTGCCTTTTGTACTTCCCAACTGTGAAAAATTCTGGGGCTTCCCTTCCATTGTCTGGGTGAGCAACAGATTCATCAATGGAAGGTTTGACAACAGGGACATGGTGAGGAAGCTGGAGGGGGGTCTTTCTAACTTCTGAACTGGCCTTGCTGGCAGGTCCAGCTGGTAGGTCCGGCTAGCGAGGCCAGCATTCTGTCACAGAAACACACAGCTGCAACGGATGGATGCAGAACTCTAGCCGGAGCAGATGGCTGTGGGTAAATGTTAATTAATATTAAATGACGCCAGATGATCATGAGTAACTGATGTAAGGGTCAAGCTAAATAAGTTACTTCCTTTGTCATTTTTTTTTTCTAATAAGTTCAACTTTCTTGTTTGGGGATTCTACATGTTTTCATAAGTTTATTTTCCTCATTCAGCCAAAAATGTTAAAGTCTTCATAGTAAGGAAAGATTTCTAGGGGAAAGCACAGCACATGTATCACGTATCAGCCCCAGCTCCCGCCTGGGCAGGCCGGGACTCGGGCCTCTGGCTCCTCTCCCATCTTCTCGACGTCCTCAATCATCTCCATGGGCTCCCTAGTGATTACTAACCAGTACACACCCCCTCCTCCTTCACAGTCACAGGTTCCGCTCTCTCTAAAGGACTCATCTCCAGCCTCAGGCTCCTAAAATTCTAGTGCAAAAAGCACAGCCACTGTGCAGCATCTCACTATCACAGTAAACTCAGCAAAGGTTACTGAACTTGCAAAGCTGAACTCCTCATCTTCTGCGAGAAACCAGCTCCACCTTTCCCACGTTTACTCTTCCAGCTCTCAGGCACCTTTGACTCCTCTCAACCCCTCCTCCGCCTGCCCCCAACTCCATCAGTCAGAAAGTTTGGTCAGTTTTTTCTTTGCAGTGTACTTCATCTGCCCCTTACTCAGTCACACCCATCACCAGCTTCCCAGCCTCAAAGACAGCAAGAACTTGCTCACAGGGCTCCCTGCCTTTGGTCTCTCCCCACTGGTAACATGACAGAAGTAGGACTCAAAGCTAAGACGACCAGACTCCAAAGCTGCTCCCTCCTCCCTTCGAAAAACCCAACCCTCCTCCAATGCCTATCATTCGAAGTCCAAACTCTCCAACCTCTCAATTCAGGTTTCTCTAAATCTAACAATCCAATCTTGCCAGATTTTCCTCTCCATTCAAATGGGTGACATGCCCATCCCCATTAATAGTAATACATTTCTGCTTTGGTTTCAATTATTCTGCCCACCCAAAATTACCTTCTCCTAGTTCCATGCTCATGTAAATCCCACCTCTTTCATGAACTAGTTCAAGCTATACCTCCTAAATTCCTATAGCAATCATTCATAAGTTGCTTTACGATTAAGAAATTATGACATCTTGTCTATTATTATTATCTTGCATTTAAATTCATAGTAGGGATTACATTGCTGATGGAAATATAAAGGAGTATAGCCACTTTGGAAAACAGGTTGGCAGTTTCTTAAAAAGCTAAACATAAAATTACCATTTTTACCATAAACTCCCAGGCAGCTACCCAAAAGAAAGGGAAACATACATGCACACACAGATTTGCAAACTAGTGTTTAGAGAAGCATTATTCATAATAGCCAAAAAGTGGAAACTTAAATCACCTTCATCTGATGAATGTATGAAATGTAGAATATCCAAACAGTGGAAGACTACTCTGCAGTAAAAAGGAACAAACTGTTAACACATGCTATGACATGGACGAACCTTAAAAACATGCTAAGTGAAAAGAGATCATATACGGTATGAGTCCATTTACAGGAAATATCTAGAAAAGGCAAATTTATATAGAGAGACAAAAAGATTAGTGTTGCCCAAGGCAGCAGTAGAAGCAGAGATCTTTTTGGGAGATAAAAATGTTCTAAAATTGATTTATGGTGATGGTTCCACCACTTGTAAATTAAATCACTGAACTGTACACTTGACATGGGTCAACCTGGTATGTAAAATTTCAATAAAGCTGTTAAAAATAAATAAATCATAGGCATTCAAATATTAGTTGAGTCTTTTACCTCTTATCTGTTTACCTTTTCTCAGCACCCCCTCCCCTGCCACTAACCCTAAACATCTTGAGGGTGAGGACTAAGTCTCCCACTTAATTTCATGCCACTTTTTATAAGAAAATGCATGTAGCCCAAAGTTACACGTATGCTGTGTGCTCTTAACTATTCGTGGATTTGATTTTTACCTTGTCAGGCTATGCAGCGATGACGCCATGCAAGAGCATCGGGGAAGAAATGGTCTATGTGAATGTCAAGGCAGAATAACTGGGTTTGAAATGCAGTCTTCCACTTCATAGCTATGAACTCGCAACAAGTTCACTGTTCTAAGCCATGTCTAAAATAAGAAAAATAATGGCAGCTACCTCATAGGATTGCTTAAAGAACAAAATGAGGTAAAATGTTTAGCCCAGAGCTTAGAACATGTAGAGCCCACTGAATGTTGGCTTAACACACACAATCTCAACACAAATGCACACACACCAGAGAAATCTCTCAAACTGGAAACTACCTTTATAACAAAGAGGACAACTAGAGATCCACCTCTTCTTGTCATCCAGCAGGCAAGAGTGGCCCTGAGACATCTTTTCTCCCTCCCAAGCCCACTGAAGTTTATGTGTGACCAGCACTACTACTACACATTTCACAAATGAAACCAAACATTGTCCCGACCTTCAACATTCGACTCTCCATCGTCTCTCAATCCTACAAGGTTGTATTTCATATCCCAGCCCCCTTGTGGTTTCGCAGCACCACATGTCTAGTTCTAAACAATGAATTGTGGCAGTGACCAGAGCATGTGTCTGTTCAAGACCCTCCACAGCTCCTTCCCGCTCCCACCGCAACTAGCGGCATGCAGGTGGAGGGTCCTCTGTCAGCCCAGATGAGGATGATGCAGAGCAGATCCCCCAGCTACCCAGCAACAGACATGGAAAATGACTGAGACATAAACTTCATTCTATGCCTACAAGCTCTGGGGGTTGTTACTGGAGCATAGCCTAGCCTAGCCTGACAGATAAAGCAATGGAGCTCTCAGGCTATGGAACTATTTTAAATCTCTTACCCTAAAACCTTTTTTTTTAAGAGGCAGGTTCTGACTCTATGGCCCAGGCCGGAGTGCAGTGGCACAATCATAGCTCACCGCAACTGTGAACTCCTTGGCTCAAGCCAATCCTCCCACCTCAGCCTCCCAAATAGCTAGGACTACAGGCATGCATCACCACACCCAGCTAATTTTTTACTTTTTGTAGAGATGGGGTCTTGCTATGTTGCCCAGGCTAGTCTCAAACTCCTAGCCTTAAGTGATCCTCCCACCTTGACCTCCCAAAGTGCTGGGATTACAAGTGTGAGCCACCACACCTGGCCCCAGAACTTAAGACCCTTTATTCCCCTGGCTTCTGTGACAAGCCACTCTCTCCATTGTCAACCTCTCTGACCATTTCTCCACTTCCTCATGGACTCTACTTCCTCTCATTAAAACCATGCTGTTAACCAAGGTTTCATCCTCAGCTCATGACTCTTCTCACTCTACATGCTCACCAAGGAGATCTTACCCACTTATTTACCCATCCAGCTGCTCCACAAGGATCAAATACGCAACACATCCAAAAGCAAATGCATCAGCTGCCCAGCCCCCTTCAGACACGCATTTCCTCCTCCATTCCCCACCCTCAGTCAACAGCACCAAAGTCTACTTAGTCACCCAGGCCAGACACCTGGCAGTCATGCTGCTCCCTCTCCCTCATCCCAATCTCACTTGACCAACCAGTCTTGGCAATTTTACCTCCCTTAAATATTTGTTGTTGTTATTGTCTGGGGAAGGGGAGATTGTTGATTTTTGCTTCTTTAATTTTCTTCTTTAGTACAGTGGATACTAACAAATTACTTCAGACTCAGGGAAAGTCTTTGGCGTCTGGCATGACAATGATGCTCTATTTGAAAAGGAGGACAAATAGTTTAGTCCAGACCAAGAAACAAGAAATCTTTAATTTCTGAGTACACAATGAAACCATGCCAGTAGCAACCTACAAGGTTTGTCTCATCTCTTTAGCCACCTGTGTAAGTAAAGGTCTCAAAACACTTCCAAGGCTTTCCTTCTTTATTAAATTCCCTTAAGCATTACTATTATTCAAAGTTTAAGACAAGGCAAATCTCACCAAGCACTTATGACTGGTTCTCTTCTTCTTCCTATAAATAAATCCGTAAGATTTATGGTAAGGAAGTATCCCCTAATTCATCTCTTTCTCTAACCTGCTTGATTTTCTAAAATTGAAAAACTCTGGTAATACTAAAACCAAAGCCAAGGTTTCATGACACCTTCAGTTAAACTACCTTTAATTCCCCTAACCCAGGTAGACCACACAAATGTTATCTGCACTTGCAGTAAAGAACTCTGAGTGGCTGGTGTCTTTTGGTTAGTGTGACCATTACACAGCAGTATGTGCTTGTCATCCTGGCCTTGTTCAGCCTCAAAAAATATTCAGAATATTTATTCTCCACATAGAAGAGTTCTCACAGCAGCACACTCAGTTACAAAAGGACCAAAAAAATCTTTTATTGCTTTACAACAAGCCAGCAACAAACACAATTGAATACTTATAAACATGACTCTTCTAAATTCTCAAATGGAATTCCAAGGCCAGAATGCGCTCCTCCACTTAAACTACATTTGTTAAAACTGAAATCCACAACTTCTGGCAAGTACTTTAATATTCTCAAGCAGAATCAACACATTAAGAGGCAAAACTTAAAAAAAAAAACCTATATCAAACTTACTGCCTATGTCTGATCACACAATTGAAAAGCCTTTTACGGTCAATCCAGGCAGTGCGATTTAGTGCACATTTTAAGTGACCATCCTGGGCATTTTTAAGAACCTAACACCTTTTTCTTTCTACAAATTCTGCAGAAAGAGCTGTCAAGAAAATTGTTCTAAAATCCAACAATGCACAGCAACTCATGGCCTCATTTCCTCTTCTTTCTTCATGATGGAAAATGTAGTCAGCCTTTAATTTGGCCTGATAAAAGCTGTAAAGACTAGGCCTATTTGTTCCCGCGGTATAAACAGGAAGCCCAAACTGATTATTACGCAAGAAAAGGTGATACTTTTAAATACATCATATTATTCTGGAAACACTAGCACTTTCCTTTCAGTGGGTATCAAGTAACTATGAATTAAGTCACCACTTTAATAATTTTAATTCAATAGCAAGAGCTACCTGGCAAATAATCTTAGTACTATCTGAAAATGGGGATGAGGGTTGCCAACAAGATTTACATGACTTGCCCAAAAGTGTAAATTTAAAACCTGACTGTTGGGATATCCACCAACCTGAAATTTCTTACTCTAAAAAACATTACCAAATCAAACCAAATTTTTTTTAAGTCCAAGGTTTTCTCTTTCTTCCAGGCAAAGCACGGTATTTTTCTTTAACATACTAGTCAGGGTTTTGCTCATTAACTTATGTGGGTGGCTTTATATTTCTAGACCAAACAGTACAGTTGGCTGATAGGAAAAAGGTTTTACAGTTTAGGAATGTATCACAGGACTTGTTAATTCAAGATGTGGGTGGAGACAATTTTTCAATTTTTAATTGCTGCAACAGCATAATGTTAAGGCAACATCAGAAAATAGAGGTGTTTGAAGACACTAAGCTCTACTCCCTGCCTGGTAGAACCAAATGATAAGATGTTACTAAATCTTTTAATACAAAAACTTTCCAAATAATCTGTAGAGCCTGACTCTGCAGTTTAATCTTTCATGTTTTATATGGCAGTGAGAGAGAACCTGGGCTATAACTCCCTTGGCAAAAAAAATTCAACATTTGATTTACTCACAAGGCTTAAAATGAGGAAGGGAAAATATAAAATAAGTTCTCCTTGCTTGACAACCATCCTTTCTAATTATCTATTTTTATACCGTATCCAGGCTACACCTGGGCATGGATGGCTACCTTGGATATAGAAAATTTAAAGCGTCACATCTGGAAGAATCACAAACAAGACAATAAACTTCTCAATCAGTACATCAACAGTCAGGGTAAGCAAGAAAAGGGCTTTACCAAAAGGTTGACATTTACACTTTTTGACAGAACTGAAATACACTGAATTACAGAGCAAAGTCACTGAAACAATGAAGAAAATTCTGTCCATGTAAAGGCTATTATTTTTACCCCCAAAAAAGTGTGTCAATTCTGATACTCACACCACACAACTGGTTAAGAAAATAAAGCGCAGTGTTTAGCAACTGGGCATCCTAACTACCGTAAGAGGCACTCTGTGCTCACCCTCCCTGGCAACCGCAGAGGTCAGCAAGGCCAGGGGCAGGGAGAGCCTCCTATTTTTCAACACAAGCCGCTGCCGTCTCTTTATTGAAGCCCCGGATGGAGAGGTCATAGACCACCTCCTCTACTTTCTTCACGTCATATTTCAATCCATCATAGCGCTTCCTCAGGGAGTCATTTTTCAGGTTGAGAAGACGGAAACCGGAATCCAGCTCATTGATGAAGGTGGAGATGTGGAGAGGCCGAGAGTAGTCTCCGGCAGTCACGCTGTTGACCGACAGCCTCGACTACACAAGGAAAGAGAAACAGGCACATTAAACGTGACTCCTCTCTGGCATGTCTTCCTCCAAATCACAATAGAAGAACCTCAGGCGTAAACAGCCTTACTGATGTTCTACCTCACGGTACATGTAAGCACAGACAAAACAGGACCTTCTCCTGAAAAGAACCCCACTGAAAATGAGACAATTTCTACCAAGCAAAGATTTAATGTAACTAACATCTTCTAAAATTTCTCTAATTTCTTAAAGTGGTTGTTGTGCAATACAGTATGTTAAATTATGCAAGTGTCAACTTTATAGCTCATCTGCTAATGTACAGAAGTGTGATCACAGCAGGTCTGCTACCTCTTCCAATCTGGGCCAATGACGGTATTTCGAGAGCCCACCTCCTGAGCTGCAACTCCAGTCACCCAGAATCAGTAAGACAGAGATGGGATAAGAAGCTAAAATGAAGTCAATGCAACATTGTCTTGAAGAACAGGTAAGATTTATTTCAAGACCCAACTCAAGATTTCTCTTCTCCATAAAATCCTCCCCATTCTTCCCTAAACCACCCTGCAAGTGCACTCCCAACACATACGGTCTTAAAGACACCTCCCACTTAACAGCTAGTATTGACAAGGAGCTTCAAGTTTACTGATCAGATGTCACCAACAAGCCTGAGGCAGATGATACAGCCTGCCAGCGCCCCCATCTTTCTGAGCGTCCGTCCAACTTTCACCATACACATGTCCACCCCGACAGACTCCATTTCTGCCTGCCCTACAGGCAAGGCACTGGATGTTAAACACAAGCTGTGTGCACGACTTCAAAGAAATATGCTTAAAGTGAGAGGATACGCGCTTTTCCCTATTTCCTCCTCTACTGGCTAGAGTGAAGACGTGAGCAACCAGAGCTGGAGCAACAGTTCTGGAACGTAAGGGAGAAGCTACAAGCTAGAAGGACTCATGGCCAAAGATCAGGGAATGATCGCACCAGCCCTGGACTACTCTCCTCTGGAGGAAGGACAGGCAGACTTCTTCTTAAGCAGCCAGACAGTAAATATTTTCACCTCTGCAGGCTGCACAGTCTCTGTCACAACTACTCAACTCTTCTATTGACAGCTTTTTTTCTTTTTTAAATTTTAATAGGACAATTTCCCAAGAGAGAGATTAAGGGGATAAAGGATAAGAATAACTTCTACAGTTACACAGATAAATTGTTCTCTAAAATGATTCGATGAATTAACAGTTACCAGGAACATACATCTTGCCATTACTCTAAAAGAAAGAGGTATTATCATTTTTTAAAAATTCACACATTGGACTAGGTGCAGTGGCCCACACCTATAATCTCAACACTTTGGAAGGCCAAGACAGAAGGATCACTTGAGGCCAGGAAATCAAGACCAGCCTGGGCTACATAGCAAGACCCCATCTCTACAAAATAAAAACTGGCCGGGCATGGTAGTACATGCCAGTAGTCCTAGCTACTCAGGAGGCTGAGGTAGGAGGATCACTTGAGCCCAGGGGTTCCAGCATGGGTGACAGAGCAAGACCCTGACACTATTAAAAAAAAAAAAATTCACACATTAAGCCAGGCACCATGACGCACATCTTTAGTCACAGCTACTCAGGAGGTTGAGGCAGGATGATCACTTGAGCACAGGAGTTCAAGACCAGTCTAGGCAACACAGCAAGAACTCCAACTCAAAAAAAACACAACTCACACATTAGTTAAGTATGCACACCTACTTCATCATGCGGACTGGCTTCTGACACCTACCAAACTACAACATATACATACAGTGCACAGTCATTGACTGCGTGGTGACCAACAGATGGCTTAGAAAAGAATTAAGCTTTCTTGAATTTTGATACCCATTTAAAAAACTGACAGTGAAGTGGAAATATCAAAAAAGCAACCAGCAAATTACTAAGCTTACCAGTTCACTAGCAAGAATTAGAACTCCTGAGAGGTAATCTTCTACATCCAGATGAAATCCTTTCTCCCGATCTGGCTCAACTAAAAAGCATCAAAATAAAGTCATGATGTGAATGCAATTTAAGCTTAAGAATATAAAAATATATATAATTGATGAAACTTTTAAAAACTGGCTTTTGAATGTGTTCACACCCTTGGCAAACTAGACCTCACTGTGTAATTTTCGAGCTCCTAAGCAAAATCCAATTTTTCCTTCTGTTCTTATCTCAAAAAGTAATACCACCAAGAATGGTATCTAGTTATGTTAGAGAATATCTCTTCTTGTTACAAGGTGCATGCTGAAGCAATTAAGGGAGAAGTCATTATATCTGCAACGAACTTTCAAATGGTTCACACAGACAGACATACACACACACACACACAAAATGAGAAGACTATGCAGATATGGCAAAATATCAATAAGTAGTAAATCTAAGTAGGGTGTAAACAGGTATTCATTGTACCACTCTTTCATCTCTTCTGTGGACTTGAAATTTTTAAAAATTAAATTTGAAAAACTAAAAGAAACACCCAAGTGCAAATGAGCAAGCCACTTACTGCATATTTTTAGTTTTGGTGTTTCCAAGTGTAACTGGCCCTCCCTGTCAACCAATCGTGATCAAAAAATATTTGGGGAGAAAAAATATTAATACAAATTTTTAAAAACAATACAGTATAACAACTATTTATATGTCATTTACATTAAATATTATAAATGACCTAGAGATGATTTAAAGTATATAGCAGGATTTGCATAGGTTGTATACAAATACGTCATTTTATATAAGGGACTTGAGCATCCTCAGATTTTGGTCATCAGGAAGAGTACTGGACTCAATCCTCCTTGGATACTGAAGGATGACTGTAACTGGTTTTCTAGTTAGTTCTTATTTATTTTAATAAATAGAAAGTGCAAGCAAGAGCCCTTTCCACCAAAAACTAAGCTACCATGCCTGACACTACAGATCCCACCAATGAAGACACTTACTGCCAAGAATTTCTGTAACTGCTTCTCGAGTAACTAGTGTTTCTGTTTCCAAATACACAACAAATGCTGCCAAGAAGACCAAGCGCTGCAACACAAACCTCCAGTGTTCATGAAATCTGCATGAAAGTAAGCATGTTCAGGTTTCAAGGTTAGGGGCCTTAGCACAGTTAAAGTCTAAACAGTTTAGAAATGGCATCCTTTTTCACATAAAATTTTATGTGAAACCCAAATATATAAAACATGTAAGAGCAATATGACATTCATATATATTAGACAGATTTAGTATAAATTTTACAAGTGTAAAAATGTAATATTTACTTACTATAAGTTTACTCAATAAGAAGTATGATTTAATTTTGATGAATATGAAAATTTACAATTAAAGATTATGTATGACATGGGCAATTGTGCTGTAGAAGTTTAATCAGTAAAGAAAATGAGATTACTCTGAGAAAAATAAAAAGTTGCAACTGGACTGATGACAACTGCAACTGTGTATGAGCCTCAACATCTAACTTGTTCCTACATTTTGCTTTGAATGTAAGGTATCAAGAAAATCCTGATTCACAAAATTACCATTTGCAATCACTAAACAAATGGACTTAAAACCTCAGGATACTAAGCTAGAAGCCTGAGAAAAGAATAGAAATGTTCCAACCTCTGGATATTTATGTTATGCCTCCTGATTTGCAAATGTGGCAACAAATTCAAAAACATTTCTCTACACGATGCCCGTTAAACAAAACCTTGTGAGGGCCAAATCCAGCTGGGGGGCAGCTTATGTGTGACCTTCAGAGTAGATGGTCTTTAAAGACCCTACCAGTTTTACTTCACTGTGCTTTAGTTATATTACCTTAAAGCAAGGGTAGGGAATTTACTCTGTAAAGGGCCAGGTAGTAAATATTTTAGTCTTTCTAGGCCACTTTCACTGTCTGTCACATATTCTTATCTGTGTGTTTTTCTTCTGTTAACAACACTCTAAAATATAAAAGCAATTCTTAGCTCCCAGAAGCAGCTGGCCACCAGTAGTTTCCAACACTTGCCTTAAAGAATCTTCTTGTGAAGTTACACTATCCACCCCAACTATGTATTGTCCATATGTGTGTCTTAAAGAACATCTTTTTCAGCAAGAAAATGCAAGCAGAAATTCTTGATTGTTATACCATACTTTATCAACACTCAGATATAATTTTTCCCAGTTTAACACCTACAAAATCAGGATACATTTTACAATCCACATTTCACAATTATGACAAGAAAAATTTTTCTTCCCTACTGGAACATAAAATAATGGTGTATCTTAAAATTAATGGTGTTGCAGACTCAATGAGATATGGCATAAAATAGTAGCTAAATATGTCATTGATAGTGAAATTCAAGCTTTCAGGGAAAACTCAACTCCACATATACACTGTCACCTAATCCCATAACCTTAATAGCATAACCATGGTTCATCCAATTTCACAAGAAATTGGAATATAGCAAAAAGATGTTCTCGATTTTGACCTTCATACCACATTTTCTTTTTAATTACTTTTTCACTGCAAAAGTAATACATGTTCCTTAAGAAAATTTTTAAAGTAAAAAGGAGGAAAAAACAAAATCACCAATTCTGTCACCAGCATTATCAGTCTGATTCTTTTTGTTATGTAGAGGGATATTTACCTAGTTGTAAGCAATCCTTCAATACGTATAAATTTTTGCCTGCTCTTTTTTTAAAAATTATTTTAAAAATAATGCTACTTTTCTTACAAACCTGTAATATTGTTCAGCAGGAAACTTGGTCTTCAAAGATGTTAGATGTGTTTTTACTGTACCAAAATGTTCTCGAGCTTTCAAACACCTCTTTGGAACTGATCACAAAAGATAATCAAATGTAACAATAAAAAACTTACAAAATTTCAAGTACAGTTCTTGCTTAATAATCTACGTAGTCTATTTGGAAGTTAATCACCTTTTTTTTATTTTAACCTCACAACCACATGTACACATCTCTGTTTTTCAACCTGGCTCTCAAAATATCATCTCTGTTTTCCTACTGATTAACCATACTGAAAAATAAACAAGCAAAAACTTGCTGAAAAGGAATATGTTAGGAGACACATTAGTAATTAGTAAGTTGTCATAAATAACCTCATCTTTAAAGGGCTGTGCGTGCACCAGCTGCTATTCCTATTCAGTCCTCAGAGGATTCCTAAAACTCGACTGCTTCTAGCTCTCATACTTGGTCAAAAAAAGTCTTTACCATTATTCGCAATCAGGCTAACTCCATACCATGGAGAAAAATGGCTTGCCTCTGACACCAGTAAGTTACATTATTGTATCATTCCCCAACTGAAAATATATTTCAGCTCTTTTAGCTATGCTGGCTGCACCTTACAACAAAGGTTCCATGTCTAAACTTGACATATTTGATTTTCATTCAAGGGGGTGGCTTAAACACATTCACTTGAGAACATTTTACACTGTTCACCTCATATTTACAAAGCATATTAAAAGGTTTTTGATCACGGAAAGGTTGAATTCAAATGCACAAAAGGGGCAAGAAAAAACCAGCTAGATATACAAAAGAGTTATTAAATAGCTCTAATTATCATCATCAGAATTCCATCACAACAGAAAACATCCCTATTTAAACTATACTATGTGGAAGTAAAAAATCAACCAAAACACGAATGTTAATAACGTAAACCTATAAAATGATCGAATCACCTATTTCTTCAATTTTTACTCACCATAAAGCACAACAGACATTTTCGTAATATCTTCTGGACGGAAATTAACTCTCTAAATAAGAGATTGATAAATTGGATAAAAAATATTCAAAATCAAAGAACTTACTGTCCTGAAACCCAGCACCCTGATGGACCCCTTGCAGTAGAGTTAAAATCTCACGAGCTGTTTGTTCTAAACTCTGTACAACTTTTCGGATTTCCTGGAGAGAATTAAAAATCAAAATCAGATAAACTCAACATAATTACTATCAGACTCATACCAAACACACTAGATAACTTATTGGAACTACCACACATTTACTTACATTGAAAACGCTAATAATCTTCACAAGGACTAAACTTATACAAAAAATAACCAGGTATGAATTCTGACTTTTCCACTTACTTCCTCTATGAGACTTTAGGAAGTCACTAAAAAGCCTTGGAGTCCTCAGGTGACCAGAATAATAGCCAACCATCCACCCCAAATATCCAACTGGGACACTATAAAATGAAGATTTAGATGCAATACAAGGGTATTTTTTTCACTAATTCATGTTACAAATATTCACTGAGCACATTTATGTGCTAGGCACTGTGTAAATATTGGGAAACCAAGCAGACAATCCCTTCCTCTGGCAGTTGATCGTATAATGGAGGAGTTAGATATTTTTTTAAATAATCACCACACAGCCGGGAGCGGTGGCTCATGTCTGTAATCCTAGTACTCTGGGAGGCCAAGGCGGGAGGATCGCTTGAGTTCAGGAATTAGAGACCAGGCTGAGCAAGAGCGAGACCCCATCTCTACTAAAAATAGAAAAATTAGTCGGTGTCGTGGGACATGCCTGTAGTCCCAGCTACTCGGGAGGCTGAGGGACGAGGATCGCTTTATCCCTGGAGTTTGAGGCTGCTGTGAGTTAGGCTGACGCCACAGCACTCTAGTCCAGGCAACAGAGCGAGACTCTGTCTCCAGAAAATAAATAAATAAAATAATCAGCACACAACAAAAGCTGACATACTACTAGAAAACATGACGAGAAAGGGATCATTTAGATTGTGAGGTCCAGAGAGTGAATGTAAGATAACCAGGAAAAGAACAGGAAAGAAGCAAATTCCAGGAAAAGCAAGCAGTACATGCAACAGTCTTGAGGCAGGAAACTATCTGTAGCACTAGAGGAAAAAAAAACAGGTAAGGCAACACAATACACAAAAGGAGATAGCGCAAAATGAGACTGGAGAGAAAGATCTTGTGGGCCACAGGAGAATGGATTTTTATCCTATGTGGGATGAGAAAACATAGGAGGGTTTTAAGCAGGACTGGGTCACATGTGCTTTTAAAACACCAATAACAAATTCATGAAATGCGCGGTGGCCGAAACTCTAGCGAGCCAAGCATTTGACAGAAGTGCTGAAAAGAAGGAAAACCGATACTCAAACGAGGCAGGTGATGCTGAAAAGCCAAGACCCGAACACAGGGAATCAGGACAGAACAGCAGAATCTCGGGCAGCGACGAACGGGTTCCCTAACCTGAAACTAGAGGGGAAGCAACCCACCCTAGCAAGCGTCCCCACCGCCCGCGACTGAGCGACGGAGAAGGGCTAGGCGATGTGGCCCAGCTAGGCAAGGAAAGGGAGAGGGGGTGGGGAGGGAGGGGGCTCGCCTCTCGGATATCCTGCTCGGCAGCCAAAAAGCCCTGCAGCTCCACGAAGATCTCGCTCACAGACATGGCGCCGGCTGCACAACAGTCAGCCAGTGCAGCAAGGGCAGCCAGAGAAATGGGTTCCGGAGACAACCAGCGTAATCAATCGCAACGACCGCCGCCGCCGCTGCCGCCGCGTCCGCCCGGCCCTACGCTGAAGCCGTCGCTGGGGTCCTCCGAGGTCCGCGGCGCGCAGAAGGTCGGGCTGTCCGCCGCGCTGCCTGAGGCACCGCCCGCAGCGTCCGGTGCCGAGGCGCGCTTCGAGAGGGCTTGGGAGGAGGATAGAGTGGGCGGGGCTTCCGCCTGGGGTCTTCAGACAGGCATCGCCGGAAACAGCCCGCAAAGGGGGGGGGGGCGCTCGTAGCACGTGGGCCTGAGGGAGGCGAGGCGGGGCGGGGAAGCGGGGTATTATCCTGTGCGTATGTATTTATTTTACATACAACGGCTCGTGGGGGAGAAATTCTTCACGACAGAAAAGTATGTGTAATAAAGCAAGGCGCCGAAGGATGTAGACAGAGTGCAGCCTTCGTGTAAAAATAGGGAACAATGCATTCAAATTTGCAAAATATGCACGAGAAAATAAAAGTACGTAGGTAGGACTGTAAGCAGGGGATGTATTGGGAGCAAAAATTTTCTCTATGTCATTCTTTTTTAGTTTAATGTCTTCTCTATATGGTTGAATTGCCTATTTTTAAATTAAATGGATTTGTAAGCGTGTGCAGTGCTTCACTCAACACCTCCTTCCTCTTATTCCCCTTCCCTGACACAAGCAGTGTAACGGTTTCTTCTTCGTCCTCGAAGAGTTATTCTATATACACCTGCCGGGCACATACAGATGCGAGTGTGTGTTGCACTCTCCAAATGAATCAGAATGATTCTTATCAACTAACTGATATTTCACTGCTTGCTTTGTGCCAGACATATTCTAAATTTTTTACGTGAAGAATCAGAAATTTATTATCATGAGAAGTGAAGTGGATGCTGTTATTTTATAAATGAAGTACCTATGGTAACAGAGGTAATTGACTTGCGAAAGTTTGGTTCCCAGTATCGAAGCTGGGAACCAAATGCTTTGTCTTAATCACTGTGCTATTATCACCTATCTACCATTTAGCGATAGTAGTTGCTAGGGACTTTAAACACTTTATCTTACAGAAGTAAGAGCAGTTGTAAAATTAATAAAAGAAAAAAAATAAACACTTTATCTTACTTGACCCCCACAACCTTACTATGTGACAGGCTAAAAAAACTCGGTTTTAGCAACTTTCCCAAAGAGGATTTTTTTTTTTTTTTTTTTTTTTTGCCTGCCTACCTCCAATATCATGTGCTATTTTGTGGTCCAAAAATGTAGGCAATAGAATCTCATAATTCACCCAAAAAAAGATAAAAATAACAATAGGAGCTAATATTTATTAAGACTTAGTACCTGCCAAACAAGTTCTTAGTACTTTTTGTGTATTAACTGACTTCATTTTTCAAATCCTGCAACATATCCATCCATGCCAACTCAAAGATTGTGAATTTCAAAATTCTAGCAGGAACAGGAGTCTGCCAAAAGATTTTTTTCTTGAAAATCTACAGTGGTTTTTGTAAGTGTCTCCTGAGGGCGTCTTTTCTCATTTGTCAAGTCAGATTTAATAATACTTATCTTTAAAAGTGAAGAAGGTTACCAAAAATGTGTGCAAGATGACTTTCTCTATGAATCTGACTATTCTAGATACCTCATGTAAGTGCACTCTTAAAATATTTCTCCTTTTTTGTCTGGCTTATTCCACTTAACATAATATCTTCAAGGTTCATCCATGTGTCAGAATTTAATTCCCTTGTAAGGCTGAGTAATACCACATTTTGTTTGCCATTCATCCGTTGGTGAACATTTGGGTTGTTTCCATCTTTTGGCTATCGTGAATAATGCAGCTATGAACATTGGTAAACAAGTGTCTGTTGAGTCCCTGCTTTCAATTCTTCTGGGTGTATACCTGAAAGTGGAATTGCTAAATGTTAAATATTATTGTTTATTTTAAAAATGAAACATAATTCTAGGTTTTCACCATACTGTTTTCTACAGCAGCTGCGCCTTTTTACATTCCCCCCACCAATATATAAGGGTTTCAATTTCTCCACTTCCTTGCCAACACTTGTTATTTTCTGTGTGTGTATGTGTGTGTGTGTGTGTGTGTGTGTGTGTGTGTGTGTGTAATGGCCAGCTTCATGGGTGTGAAGTGGTATCTTATTGTGGTTTTGATTTGCATTTTCCTAATGCCTAGTGATATTGAACATTTTTTCACGTCTATTAGCCATTAGTATATTTTCTTTGAGGAAATACTTATTCAGGTATTTCCATTTTTTAATTAAGTTGTTTGGTTTTTTTGTTGAGTTTTAGTAGTTCATTATATATTCTGGATATTAGTCCCTGATCAGATATATGATTTACAAATATTTTCTCCCATTCCATGGGTTGCCTTTTTCTTCTGTTGATGATATCCTTTGATAAACAAAATTTTAGTTTTGATAAAGTCCAATTTATCTATTTTTTTCTTTTGTTGCCTATGCTTTTGATGTCATATCCAAGAAATCATTGCAAAACTCAAAGTCATGAAGCTTTTCCCTATGTTTTCTTCTAAGAGTTTATAGTTTTAGGTCTTTTTTTTTTTTAAGAGACAGGGTCTTGCTCTGTCCAGGCTGGTGTGCGGTGGTGCAATCATAGTTTGCTGTAGCCTCATACTCTGGGCTCAAGCCATTCTCCTGCCTCAGCCTCCAGAGTAGCTGGGACTACAGGCACATGCCACCTCCCCCAGCTAAAATAAATAAATAACTCTTGTGACATAAACATCATCTTCTCATTTTGTTTTACAATTTTTAAAATAACTTTGAAATGCAAATATTTTAAATGTTTTATTCAGCAAATGCACATACCATGTTTATTAACCCAGTACCTTATCATAGGCTATTTTGGTTGTTTATAGTTCTTTCTATTATAAATGATATAGTGATGAAAGTGTTTGTGAGCCCATATCAGAATTTAGTGTCATTTCTTTTGATAGGACCTGTTTTTAAAGTTCTCAACACATTTTGAGCCATCACTACCCAGAGGGGTTGAACTAATTTCCACTTGGCTGCTCACCAGGGCCTGGGTGAGCCCTGTGGCTGCCCTCCCCCACAACCTGAATATGAGCACTGTAGACACTTGGGCTAATTTAAGGGCAAAGTGACACATTGTTTAATAGCACCCAAGGCTAAGTAATTGTAGCTGCACTTCTGCAAGTTTCCTTGAAGGGTGGGAGAGAGTGGAAACAGACTGATTGGAAGTCAAGGCCTGCAGTGGAAGACAGGGTTAGACCAGGTGAGGAGGGAGGAAAAGGAGACAGGCCTCAGCTGGGAAGAGGGTGCCACGATGCGGACCGCAGGCCCCGAGGGACCCAGGACACCCATGACCCACACCCCATGCTGAAAGGCAGGCAAGGATCCTGGGGTGGTGGGGTGGGGATTGAGTGAGTCAGCTGGGGCCTTCAGAGGGAATCCAGACCCTCCGGGCACCCCTTCTCTCCACTCGCCCGCCCTCATGGGTGTCCACCAGCCTCCCCTGGGACCCTGCTGGGCTTGGGGTCTGGATTTGGGGCTGTCCCTGATGTTAAACCTGGCACAAGGGAGAGCGTAGCTGAAATGACAGAAGCTCACAGGGGAAAAAGAAGAAAATTTCCGTCAATGCTTCAGGTCCTACGGCCCTGAGTGCTCTGTGGACTGAATTTGAGTTTGTCAGCTGACATGTATTGAGGCCATACCGTCTAGGCTGGTGACACGAACAAGAGTTTCTCCCCAACTCCTTCCTACAGGGTCACCCCTTTCAGGCCCAGACCCCCTGTGCTATGGACTGACTGTTTGTGCCCGCTTCCAAATGCACATGTTGAAGCTCTAATCCCCAATGCGATGGTGTGAGGAGATGGGGCCCAAGAGTGGAGCCCTGACGAAGGGATGGGGGCCCGCAGAAGAGATGCCAGGGAGCTGCTTCCTCTCTCTGTGTCATGTGAGGACACAACTGAAGACACTTTGTACAGACCAGGAAGAGGCCCTTACCAGACACCAGTCTGCCCGCTCCTTGGCCGTGGACTTCCAGCCTCCAGAACCTTGAGAAATAAGTGCCCATTGTTTATAAGCCTCTCAGGCTGTGGCACTTTTGTTACAGCAGCCCAAGCTGACCAAGAAACCTTGCGACCAAGTAAGGGGCAGCTGGGCACGGCCAAGCCGACTGACCCTGACACTCGGGCCCGATATTGAGGGTGGCAAGTCGGATGACCCCACAGGGACCAGGCAGAGTGGTGGGAGGGAGAGGAATGGAATTTGGGGGGAAGTGTGCAGGGCTGAGCAGGAACCCCAGCCCCTCCTGGTGCCCGCCTGTGTCCTCCTGCCAGGCCTCAGCCTGCTGCCTGCCCTCCTGCCACTGCCCACCTCACGTCCAGCCCCCTGCCCTCACTGCGCTTGGCCCCCAGCAGGTGCTCCGGTCCACAGGTGGGGAGTGCAGGGGGAGGTGCCTGGGTGGTCAGCGAGGGAAAGGAAGGGGATGACATGCACTGAGGACTCAACATCCACTAGGGTGTGTGGAAATGCCTGGGGGCATTTTGGTCGTTACGATGACTAGGGAATGGTACAAAGGTAGCGTGCACGGGACAGTCCAGCTCAGTGAAAAACTGCCCCACTCCCATGCAAACACAGAAGGAAGAAAGGGAGGCAGCCGGAAGAGGCTGGCCTGGCACCCATCTGTGACCTCCAGGACCTGCCCCAGCAGGTAGCTCCCAGCATACCCAGGCAGGCCCAGCACCAGTGTTTTTCTCAGAAAAATCATGCAGGCTACATGGGTCATGGGAACCGTATTTGTTTCCTGTGGCTGCCATGACAAATTATTAAATACCACGTACTCAGGGCTTAAAACAACACAAACATACTCTCTCAGAGTTCTGGGGACTAGAAATCCAAGTTCAAGGTGTTGGCAGGGCCACTCTCTGGAGGTTCTAAGGAAGAGTCGTCCCTGCCTCTTGCTGGCTCCTGGTGGTGGCTGGGGTGGTGGCTTCCCTAGCTTGCAGCTGCGTCACTCCCACTCTGTTTGGGTCATCACTTGGTGTTCTTCAGCTCACTGGGTCCCTGAAGGACCTCCCTTGGTGAGAGAGAGAGAGTGTGTGTGTGTGTGTGTGTGTGTGTGTGTGTCCAAATTTCCCTCTTCTCATGAGGACACCAGTCATTGGTTTACAGCCTGCCCTAACCCAGCGTGACCTC